GGTCACAACTGGAAGCTGAAGACTCAGACGAGTCACAGGGACGTTAGGAAGTATTTCTTCAGTCATAGAGTTGTCAGCAAGTGGAATAGCCTAGCAAGTGAAGTAGTGGAGGCAGGAACCATACATAGTTTTAATAAGAGGTATGACAAAGCTCAGGAAGCAGAGAGAGATAGGACCCAGTAGCGATCAGTGAAGAGGCGGGGCCAGGAGCTGAGTCTCGACCCCTGCAACCACAATTAGGTGAGTACACACACACACACTAAAAGAAAGTCACATTAGTTACTGTAGGGCACATCAGTTCAGTTACTACATGTAACTTACTGGGAAAGCTTCAAGACACATGGGATGTACTCTCTCAGGGAGACAAGACAACTAACAATAGTACTCTACAATTTTTTATCAATTTTGTGATTCGAAAAAAAAAATAAAAAAGGCATTTCAGTATACAGGTTTTGTGGTGCTGACAACAAATATGATTGTAATAACAATCTACTGGCTAGAGGAACTTGTATTTTTTAACAATTGTGCTAATAGGAAACTATATATATTTTAAAGTTAAACCATTACATATTGTGGGTTTGAATTAAATGCCTTTTCCCCTGTAACGTTTATTAACGCTCCCAACTTCCCAGGTCAAAGATGACAGCAACACTACTGAGTCCATATCTTTGTAAATAGATCAAACTTGCAGTTTTATGCAGTTACCCAAAATTATCAAAGAAGGTGTATACCAGATGTGCCTTGTATAATATATACATTAGGGAAAAACATTCAAGAACCAGGACCCTAATCTACAAGTCTATCACTGTAATAACACAGTATTTCACTGTTGCTAATACAGCAAATGAGTGACTGTTTAGCGATTTCAAACAGTGACAAATGTTTCTGGTGCGCTTGATGCGTCCGTGTTTCCCGTTCACGAGTCAACACTTTTTATCGCCTTTATTTAATATTTCATTTACTGGCGCTGTTATATGTTATTATTGGTTAATTTCTATTAATCGAGGCCAATCTAATCTAAGTAACATTAATCGAGAAATCTGCTGCAAACAATATCTGCAGCACACTGCCATAACTGGAGTGAGAGGTATGGAAGTTCATAGTAAACCCAGTGTAAAATAAGGGTGTCATAGGAGCAATAAACGGACGCTGTCAACACCCGTGATGAGATTCTTCAGTCTCCTACCAGCAGAGTTGTCAAGAAGGAAACTTGGCCTGTTCTTGCAACAACTGCCAGATCACTGTATGTCTGAAGCATGCATAAATATCACAATAAGTCACCGGTAGAGTCTGGTGTCAGGATAAAATGAAAGAAACCGGTGAAAGAAATGAAAGCCTTCAGCATTTCATCTTTGTTACAAAGGAAAACAGTATCCGTTACACAATATGGTACCCTGTAGCACACTGATAGCAAGATGTAATCACAGGTAAGAGGACCCGGGGTTGAGCACTGGACGGAGAGAAACAAGTTGCCCAACTGGGCACTTGGTCACTGAGCACATGCCCAAGTGACCACTCTATTCTATCCTTACCTCAAAGTATTTGTGCTTGGGGATCTACCAGAGAAATCAGCTGTTAATCTACTACAGAAATCAGCTGTTAATCACCCATTCAGGTTCCAGACAACACACACCCCTCTGATATACTTTTACTTTTGACGAGTTCCGAGAGCTTTTCCTACTCCCAGAGCCCGGCCTTGGACCAGGCTCTTCTGGTGCTTGCCTGGCCAACCAGGCTGCCGTTGCTGGTGGCCCGCTGACCCACATATCCATTACAACCTGGTTGATCCTCTTCAATACTTCTACACTTGTTCCAGCAGTGTTTCTGATATCTTCTGGTAAGATGTTAAAACGCCTGGGGCCACGGACGTTGATAGTGTTCCCTTATTGTGCCCACCGCACCCCTGTTTTTCATTGGGTTTATCTTGCACTTCCTCCAATATCTTTCACTCCAGTATGTTCCAGTATTCAAAAACTTCAACTTACTAAACATATAACACATCCACACCTGCCATTATGCATCGCGTATGTATAGGACACTAAGAACGAGCCTCAACCCAGTGCTATAACTTTTCCTGGAGAGCTGCAACGTGATACACAGAGAAAATACAAGAAATAAGTATCTCTCATACAACGCGTGTTCGACTCAACTTATATAGGAACTCCATGAAAATAAAGGGTCCTAAAATCGAGAAGTCCCTCCAAAAAGATGCCAGAGTTCTTTACCCACCAGCGTCGAAATTATCGCCCAAAAAAACCATCACCTAAATCTGATGTATACAGTACTTGGATCAATCCGTCTCAAAATGTATTAACCTTAAAGCATCATAGTTCATATACCAAATTGTTATAGTTTTTAAATGTAAAATATGACTAACAATAGCATTCTAATGGACTATTATATTTGTCTCAGTGTCTAGTAACTATTTTAAATCTGCCCAACAAGTTCTGCATAATAATGAAAATTCTATAGTTTATATATGTCAATATATACTGTCCATTGTCATATAGTAAATCTTTGTTGGCATCAGTTGGATAACAGGTAAAGTCGTTTGTTTGGATGAGTGTGGACGTCTGGGGTTGCAGACGCCAGGGTGAGCGTCACACACTTGTCAGCTAGAGTGTGAACGTCTGGAGTTGCAGACGCCAGGGTGAGCGTCACACACTTGTCAGCTAGAGTGTGAACGTCTGGAGTTGCAGACGCCAGGGTGAGCGTCACACACTTGTCAGCTAGAGAGTGTGGACGTCTGGTGTTGCAGACGCCAGGGTGAGCGTCACACACTTGTCAGCTAGAGAGTGTGGACGTCTGGTGTTGCAGACGCCAGGGTGAGCGTCACACACTTGTCAGCTAGAGAGTGTGGACGTCTGGGGTTGCAGACGCCAGGGTGAGCGTCACACACTTGTCAGCTAGAGTGTGAACGTCTGGAGTTGCAGACGCCAGGGTGAGCGTCACACACTTGTCAGCTAGAGAGTGTGAACGTCTGGGGTTGCAGACGCCAGGGTGAGCGTCACACACTTGTCAGCTAGAGAGTGTGAACGTCTGGGGTTGCAGACGCCAGGGTGAGCGTCACACACTTGTCAGCTAGAGAGTGTGGACGTCTGGGGTTGCAGACGCCAGGGTGAGCGTCACACACTTGTCAGCTAGAGAGTGTGGACGTCTGGAGTTGCAGACGCCAGGGTGAGCGTCACACACTTGTCAGCTAGAGAGTGTGGACGTCTGGGGTTGCAGACGCCAGGGTGAGCGTCACACACTTGTCAGCTAGAGAGTGTGGAACGTCTGGGGTTGCAGACGCCAGGGTGAGCGTCACACACTTGTCAGCTAGAGAGTGTGAACGTCTGGGGTTGCAGACGCCAGGGTGAGCGTCACACACTTGTCAGCTAGAGAGTGTGAACGTCTGGGGTTGCAGACGCCAGGGTGAGCGTCACACACTTGTCAGCTAGAGAGTGTGAACGTCTGGGGTTGCAGACGCCAGGGTGAGCGTCACACACTTGTCAGCTAGAGAGTGTGAACGTCTGGGGTTGCAGACGCCAGGGTGAGCGTCACACACTTGTCAGCTAGAGAGTGTGAACGTCTGGAGTTGCAGACGCCAGGGTGAGCGTCACACACTTGTCAGCTAGAGTGTGGACGTCTGGAGTTGCAGACGCCAGGGTGAGCGTCACACACTTGTCAGCTAGAGTGTGGACGTCTGGAGTTGCAGACGCCAGGGTGAGCGTCACATACTTGTCAGCTAGAGAGTGTGGACGTCTGGTGTTGCAGACGCCAGGGTGAGCGTCACACACTTGTCAGCTAGAGAGTGTGAACGTCTGGTGTTGCAGACGCCAGGGTGAGCGTCACACACTTGTCAGCTAGAGAGTGTGACGTCTGGGGTTGCAGACGCCAGGTGAGCGCACACACTGTAGCTAGTGGTGGACGTCTGGTTGCAGACGCCTGGGTGAGCGTCACACACTTGTCAGCTAGAGAGTGTGGACGTCTGGGGTTGCAGACGCCAGGGTGAGCGCCACACACTTGTCAGCTAGTGTGTGTGGACGTCTGGGGTTGCAGACGCCTGGGTGAGCGTCACACACTTGTCAGCTAGAGAGTGTGAACGTCTGGGGTTGCAGACGCCAGGGTGAGCGTCACACACTTGTCAGCTAGAGAGTGTGGACGTCTGGTGTTGCAGACGCCAGGGTGAGCGTCACACACTTGTCAGCTAGAGAGTGTGGACGTCTGGGGTTGCAGACGCCAGGGTGAGCGTCACACACTTGTCAGCTAGAGAGTGTGAACGTCTGGTGTTGCAAACGCCAGGGTGAGCGTCACACACTTGTCAGCTAGAGAGTGTGGACGTCTGGGGTTGCAGACGCCAGGGTGAGCGTCACACACTTGTCAGCTAGAGTGTGAACGTCTGGAGTTGCAGACGCCAGGGTGAGCGTCACACACTTGTCGGCTAGTGTGTGGACGTCTGGAGTTGCAGACGCCTGGGTGAGCGTCACACACTTGTCAGCTAGAGAGTGTGAACGTCTGGAGTTGCAGACGCCTGGGTGAGCGTCACACACTTGTCAGCTAGAGAGTGTGAACGTCTGGAGTTGCAGACGCCTGGGTGAGCGTCACACACTTGTCAGCTAGAGAGTGTGAACGTCTGGAGTTGCAGACGCCTGGGTGAGCGTCACACACTTGTCAGCTAGAGTGTGTGAACGTCTGGAGTTGCAGACGTCTGGGTGAGCGTCACACACTTGTCAGCTAGAGAGTGTGAACGTCTGGGGTTGCAGACGCCAGGGTGAGCGTCACACACTTGTCAGCTAGTGTGAACGTCTGGAGTTGCAGACGCCAGGGTGAGCGTCACACACTTGTCAGCTAGAGAGTGTGAACGTCTGGAGTTGCAGACGCCTGGGTGAGCGTCACACACTTGTCAGCTAGAGAGTGTGGACGTCTGGGGTTGCAGACGCCTGGGTGAGCGTCACACACTTGTCAGCTAGAGAGTGTGGACGTCTGGGGTTGCAGACGCCTGGGTGAGCGTCACACACTTGTCAGCTAGAGAGTGTGGACGTCTGGGGTTGCAGACGCCAGGGTGAGCGTCACACAACACCCAGCTAGCACCACTGCTGGGAAAATACTGCCCGCACATTCCTCCCTTCAAGGCCAAGGTCCTGCACCACATGATCCCACACTCGCCGTGAACACACTAGCTGTGTACACACTAGCTGCGTACACACTTGGTGTGAACACACTTGCTGTGAACACACTCGCCGTGTACACACTAGCTGCGTACACACTTGGTGTGAACACACTAGCGGTACCCCGTGGCTTGGTGGCAAAAGCTCTTGCTTCACACGGTGAGCGTCCAGGTTCGATTCCCGGCAAAGGGGTGGAAACATTGGGCGTGTTTCCTTACACCACTTGTCCATGTTCATCCATCAGTATAAAATGGGTACCTGGGTGTTAGTCGACTGGTGTGGGTCGCATCCTGGGACAAAACTAACTTAATTTCCCCGAAATGTTCAGCATAACAAGCGGCTTTCTATATAGTAGTATGTCATTGATGTCAGGTAGGACTGTATACCTTGTACATGTACTTGTAGAAGTAAAAATATTATTATTATTATTATTAGCTATGAACACACTCGCTGTGTACACACTGAACACACTGTGAACACACCAAACCCACATTAAAAGTTAGAAACAGCTGTTAGGACAGTGTATGGTTACTGATGTATCCTGTATGAAAGAAATGCATGAACTTTCATACTAGACGTGTATCAAGTATGACGGACACTGTATGGTCACATCAACACTGGTGAGTTATATATCGAGGACGCTATTTATAATCAAAACAACGTTGATAGTGTATCATGTATGGAAGAAGCTGTATGTATGATCACAGAACAGTGGTGTTGTGAAGGAACGTGTACGTGTTGACGTTAATAAGTGTGTGGAAGTGCTCCTCCACACACACACACACTGCTCGGGGTTTTGTGTGTGTGTGTGTGTGTGTGTGTGTGTGTGTGTGTGTGTGTGTGTGTGTGTGTGTGTGTGTGTGTGTGTGTGTGTGTGTGTGTGTGTTACCCCTCCACAAACTGTTACAGTCAATGCTGATGGTCTGGTCACTTCTAAGTGACAAACATGGGTGCACTGTCCTGCTTGAGCTCCGCCAGTGGCCACTAGACAGCTTATTCTCTACAGGTTATTGTCCACTTGTTGTCTGGTTTCACGGGAGCGTGCGTAGAGGCTGAGTATGCAGGTGTTTGGCCTTCAGTTAGCCCCTTCCAGCGGGCACTGGGCACGGAACTCCATCACAATACTTCAAAATACAAAACTTCACTCGACTGAAGCCTCCACCAGTTTTATGTCAACAATTTCCAGCGGGAAAAGAAGGCACGTCTAGCTGAGACTATGTGTGAGCGTGAGAATGTTTTGATACATGCACTAGCACAATGGTTCAGTGTGGAGGCTTGGTGAACACTGCTGCTCCCTCCCCGCCCGCCACACTAACACAGCCCCCGGGCGGCCACCACAACACCCCCACCCCGCCCACTCCCACTCCACGCTACTACCCAAACATTACACACCATAATACTGACCCACACGCTGCCCTCGTAATTGTTTAGGTTGTAAATAGAGGGTGATGCAGCAGGTGTATATACAGGAAGAGAGGAAAGGTAGGTGTGTTTGAGGGTAAAGGAGGGTATAGCATATTGGTGTGCCCAGGCGCGGAGGTATGCGGTGCCGGGGGCGGCGGGCGAGCCTGCCCTCCACACTCCGCTGCCAGACTCAACATATCTCCACCACTATCTTTTACCACTTCAATATTACGCATGCCACCTCACTCACGCGAACCTACTTGTGCGTTAATTTTTATTAAATAACCGAGAATAAAGTAGGAAAGTGAAGAGCTTACAGAGAAATGGTGGGCGGAAGATTGTGAGTGTGCGTACATGGGCCGCCATTCTTACCGCTACCTGCCCACCGTACCGCATGCCACACACCGCCCTCCTGCTCACCTTCCTTCACCTAACAACCTACGCCAACATACCCCACAGTGATCACACAGCAACAAACATTAAGAACACGTGAGGTGAGAAGGATGAGGAGAGGACAGAGCGAAGGAAGCCGGTGACCTGAGGGTAAAAGATGGCAGGTTGTGTGACAGGTGATGGCAGCCAGTGAGTACGGTCTGTGGCACGGGACTATGACCCATATGGTCTAGTGACGCCTTCACCAGCGCACACCATTCACCACGCTCACACCATACACAAACACCACCATCAACAAGATGACAGTATTACTGCAGACATAATATTCATTACTAGTGTTATAAATACATTGCTCACAACTTTGTTGGTGCACCTACAACCACATCAACTAGCTACCTACTGATAGAAGAGTACGTACTCGCCCAAATATCTTTGCATGGGTCAAGACTCCGCTCCTGGCCCCACCTCCTAGACCAGGGCTACTCAACCACTATGAGCAAAGGTCCACTTGAACAAGTACCAATATATGCAAAGGTCCGGATACATTTTTAACACTCAATCATGATAGTAACAACTCCGAGCACAGGTCACTGTATTCATCATTTTCTATTAACTTCATTTTCACTCCTGGTATTATAAAAATTTACAAAATATTAAGATAAATAGCGGGAAAAAATAATTTTTACATTATATCGAGCAAGTTTTGAATTTTTTTACTCAAATTAGTTTAAATTGAGTTTTCAAACTGAAAAATTAATATATATACTGATCAACAGAATGGTATACAATAAAAATTACACTGTGCAAGACAGGTATACAATACCGACAAGATGAAAGATTAAGACACTTGTGCAACATCTGGTTATCTTTATTGTAGACGTTTCGCCACCCAGTGGCTTTATCAATACAGATTCTTGGACATAATTAGGAAACAGAAGAACTATATACAAAAGATGAGGTGATCAGTCCCTCAGCCTTGGCGGTGGTGTTTACAACATCGTGATTGCAGAGATTCTGCAATCACGATGCTGTAAACACCACCGCCAAGGCTGAGGGACTGATCACCTCATCTTTTGTATATAGTTCTTCTGTTTCCTAATTATGTCCAAGAATCTGTATTGATAAAGCCACTGGGTGGCGAAACGTCTACAATAAAGATAACCAGATGTTGCACAAGTGTCTTAATCTTTCATCAAAAATTACACTACAACAGGATTTGAAGTTTTATTTAAAAAAAAAAAACAGAATTTTAACACGTAAAGATGAACCAGATCGATGTAATGACTATTAAATAACAGCATAATAAATATGAAAATATCATTCAATTTACCTCAATAAAGACAAGTTTGTTTTCTGTATTATGAAATGTATTTATTACTGAAATTTATCTGTATTTATTAAAAATAAAATATATTTTATGTCCACTCAACATAAATTACGAACAACCAAAATGAGGAAATTTTTTAATCAATTTTATTAAACATTAACGTGAAGAATTTGATCACAATGATTCAGTACTAAATATCCCACCAACGTAGTTATTCATAAAAGAGGTGGACACAGTAAATTAAAATCAAACTTGCTAAAAAAGAAAATGAGAAAACCCGAAATCATACCTTACACACACACAAATACACAACCTTCCCTAAATACAAAGTAGCACCCGGGTGGCCACACTTCTCACACCATACACCGCCAAAATCTTTTTTCGAGAATGGCAAAAAAGTCAACTTCATTGCACCAGTGATTATTACCAATACGAATTACGATTTAATGGAAGAAAATATGACTATTTAGCTCTGCTAGAATACTGTATTCCATTCAGTGTATACATTCCATTCAGATAGAATAATGTATTAATCCCGCTCTTGTGTACCACCTGATTCTGAACGTGGTAACACCTGTTATTTAACTAAGCTTTCCCCTGAAGCTCCCGGTCCAACTACAACACTCAAGCTCCCGGTCCAACTACAACACTCACAAGGCCTGGATTCGGACCGCGAGCCGCCAACTGAGTAGCCCTGTCCTAGACTACTTTAATCGTCATAACTGATTTCTTGCCTCTTGAGCCTTATCATGTTTATTCCTGAAGCTGTGTAAGGAATATGCCACAAATCAATACCACTCTGGTGTGGCGGAGCACAAAATCAAGATAGTGTCCATCGAGAACACAGCAAATCTTCAAGCGGATACAAATTCAGTTTTTCATGGATATTACCAACAAATCCCTGGCTGTCTTCAAGAGGGAACTCGATAAATTTCCCAAAAAAGGTTCCTGATTAGCCGGGGTGTGGTACACACGTTCGACTGTGGGGGCGGTCACTAACAGCTTATTCGATCAGGCCGACAGCCTGGAGGCCTGGTCTGGGACCGGGCCCAAGGCGTGGTGACCTTCGAAAGTGACTTCCCCGGATAATTTTAGGGGACTCCCATGTTTAATGAAACCGCAATGTTGCTGGGGCCCTTCCCCCAAGCCCAAGGGAAAAAGATGCGGGAGCTTTTTTGGGGAAAGGTTGGACAAAAAGCGTCGGGGAGAATGGGATTTTTTTTTTTTAAGGACCCGGGCCCCGTATGGGGCAGTAAACCCGCCAATGGGGGATAACCCCTTAAAAAACCAAAAGTTTCCCCCCAAAACCCCGGCTAGAATTTTGCTGAATATTTTTTGTAAAAAGTATGGAAAAATTTTTTCTGCCCGTTTTCATTTCCATTTAAACATCTGACTACTGGGGGCGCTTGGAAAATTCCTTCAACTGCATTCCCCCGAACGTTAGGATTTTAAAGTTACATTTTTAATTTACCAATGGAAAAATCCTGGAACCCGGCCCGAAACGGGAAACCCCCGTTCAAAAGAAATCATTCTATAAGGAAAACCCAAGGGGTAAGGGGGAAAGGGCAAAAACAAACCCCCAGTTAAAAAACCCGGGGGTAAAAACCCCCGGTTTGTGTTAAAGGGTTCCCGACTTTTTTATCACTCTCCCCCCTTTGTGCATAAAGGGAAAAATTTTTAAAAGTTCCCGATCTCTGGTTTTTCCCAGGGAAAGGAAATTGGTAAGTTCCCTTTAGTCATTTCCCTGGTCCAGCCGACTGTGGGTTCCGTTCCCGGAAAAGCATGCGGTCAGCAAATAAAAAGCCTGGTTGTCAGGCCCCGTTTTTCACCCAGGAGGTTTTGGGCTTGGGGTCGGGCCCTGGATCATTGGTTCCCAAAACCAAATTTTTCAGGTAAAACCCCCGTATCCTTCAAGTCATTCCCATTTCAATTCATCTGGAATAAAAAAAAATTTTTATTATTAACCCAAAAAAAAAGCGCTTTTAACCCACAAGGGCTTTAAAAATAAAGAAATACTTTCCCAAAACCCCAAGAGAAAAAAATTGTGTCTGGAGCCGAAGGGCTGTTCAGCGGGCCCTCCCCCCCCACGATTAAAAGGGAAAATTTCCAAAAGACCCCTGGCTGCCTTCACGAGGGGTTTGGGCCCCCCTTAACCTTAAGGTTTAGTTCCCCCTCCCGCTGGGGTGTGGTTCGTACATTTTAAATGGTGTGGCCCCGGAGTAAAAAGCCGGTTGGGTTTGGCCCCTTTTCCCCCCCCCTACCCGGAGGGCTGGTCCGGGGGGGCGCGGGGGGCGT